ATCTGTTAGCATCTCTGCTAGGCTATACAGATTTATCATAAGAAACACAGTGTGCCAGCAGGGAAAGAGAAGAAAGCAGCATTAAAAAACCCCAAAACAAGAACAAAAAACCCCCCACCAAACTACATAATTCTTTGTATTTTTAACCCATTTCTGCAAGGACCACAGGAAATTCCCATCATACTTCACAAGGACAACCTATCTTTTTCATGTGATTATAATGGTTTTTTGCTCAGAGGGTTCAAAGGAATTTAGGAATCTGTAGCAACTCACTGAAAGTATACAAAAAGGCAGGCATTGCCTTTCAAAATAAAAACTCCATCAAATTACCCACACCTTTGAAGCTGCTCCTCTGACCAAGATGTTCAAAGCCCTCAGCAGTGGAGGAAAGGATTCATTGGTAGGAAGGTCTGTGCATCCCTGTAATGGAACAGAACGTAACAGAACATTAGACTGAAGGAAAACCTGACCTTGGAGACCAAGAAGGAAGACTTGGGCTCTTTGTGGAACCAAGTGAACCCTGGCTTAGCCTGAGATGAGAGTGTTTGTAATCAGTTAGGCCTAGCAGACCTGAAAGAGAAATACAAAGACTGAGGTTTGGAGGAGGTGTGTCCCCATTTGCTTTTAGCTCTCTGCCCTGCATGCTACCTCCAGAACAAATAATTAACTAACACAGTCTTTTGAGGACAACATTTGATAACAGCTCTTTCATTTGCCTGGATGCAGCTTCTAGAGCAAAGTCTCTTACAGAAAACTACCACACAAAGGTTCTTCTGGAGAAAAATACAGAAAAGTCCCTATCTGAGAATTGCTAATGATGCTTGAAGCCAGTGGGAGCAGATGTCTTTTATGCAAAGGTATTCTTGAGAAAGGCTGGGAAGAGCTGGTCCAGCTAAACCTGTTGCCATGTCATTGTTAAAATACATAGAATTTTTCCTTTCACTGCTGTTTATATCTGAGTAAGCAGATAGCCTTATACAGCAGAGTATATTACTCTGGATAGCAGAGTAAGGCTAGCCAAGAAAGAGGTTAGGTTTCATAGCTCACCTTCAGAAGCAATAAAGTCATATCTTAAATGGGGAAGTTATTCTATGTGCATCTGCCCCTCTGGGTGACCTTCTGCACAAAGTACCATAAAGCACTCTGGACTCCATCCATCACATCAGTACTCCGGCATTTCATGACACACAGAACCAAGCAGGCTGCCAATCTAAACTCAGTTGCTCACTGACCTACTCAACAGAAAGGTCATTCATCCTCCTCAAATCATCTTCATTTACACATCTGGATCACCCTGATATTTATCAGGAGTTAATCATGTACAAGCAGCTGAGTTATCCACAAACTACAGCAGCATTTCCTAAGTTTCATGGCTTTGATTCCTGACTTCTGCAAACTTTCCTGCAAAGTTTCCTGTATGTCCTTTCATACTTTGGAAGATCTCTTGGATTTGAAAATATTTAATAAAGAAGTTTCAGGGAAACGTACAGCTTTATTTTTGTAAGGGATTTCTTAAATAAAAAACATCTTTCCACCTTAAAGAAATCCAGCACTTTGTGTACAGATCCTCCACATCCATTGCTCTGTTCTGCTTCAGTCTTTTTGGGCTACACTGTACTAATGGTCCTCCTTGCAGAGATCTGCAAAAGCACACCATGATCCTACATTTGATCCTTTCATTTCACTTCTTCACTCTTAAGGACTCCTTTGTGTCTGCTAATATTTATTCTCTTTATGTCCTTGTAGATTTAACATAGATTTTTTAATTCCTCCTGTAAATGTTCCTATTTCTTACCCACTCACAAAGACTTCTGAAAGTTCTCAAAAATATTGCCAATTGAAAGTTTATGCTATAAGCATGATTTTCAACACACTTTATCTAGCACTGTCTTATTATCTGAAAAGGCCATTTTATCTGCTAGAAATGTCTTGATGTCTCTGTAAAATAGATCAGAGTTTCCAATCACATTCTTTACTCTATTTATAATCAGCTAGAATTCAACCAGATATAAATGTATGCATTCACTTTTCTAAAACCTTCCATACAACCCAACTTATCTTTAAAGTGTTTAAAAGTGCAGACTGGAATATATGCAAGAGCATATATACTGTATATACTGAAAATCCATGTTTTTCTCATACTCACAAGAAAATAATCATGTTCTTTGAGTGAAAAAAAATTATTTAATGATAGTCCCAGAAACCTCTGCACCAAGCAGTGCCCAGTCTTGAACTGAGCTCTAAATAATTACGTGGAAATAGCCATTATTATTATTATTATTATTATTATTATTATTATTATTATTATTATTATTATTAGCCTTGGTTGATTTGCCTTTGCAGATCTGGTTACACTTGTATCATACAAAATCACCCTTTCCACTGTTATATTTAATGTTCTCTCTGCCTTCAAATGTTTTCCATAGGTTTTTGTTTTCTTGTGAACTGGGTATTTTTGTTCCACTTAAGCAGTTTAAATATCTTCAGAGCCTATATATTTATTTATCTGAAGGTGAATTTTCTTCTAAGACTGCTTTACTTTTCTGAATAGATAATTTTCTCTTTTTTTTCTATAAAGTAGAACAGTATTAATCCAGACAAGAGAATCAATTCCTTTACTACCACAGAAGTGTTGCTGTTGTAAAAGAGGCAATAAAGTTTGGTGTGGTGCCTAAGTGCATTTCACATTTCATTTAACAGACACGAGCTATGGGCATACAATTTAAGAGAGCACTGCTATGGTCTGAACTGAACCTGAAAGCCAGCCTCAATGTGTTCAGTAGGCTAAACCCAAGACCAATTTCAGGTTTCATTGACTGTATTTATTGAAACCATCTTCCCTGCATAAAGAGTATCACATGAAGATATGTATTTGGTTACTTACTGTCAACAGACACCACACTAATTCCCCAGGTCAAAGCATTTTAAAAAGCCCTTTAAAAACCCCTCAGTGCACATTCTAATTGGCCAAACAGAACCAAAATGCTAATCATAAGGCAGAAGGCTCAGCATGGATCTTTTTGCAAATAACACACACCCTCACAAAAGGCTCATGTGCCCTCAAACAATCTGGCTCCCTCACAGAAACACTTGGAAGAGCTGTAAGTAGGACAAAAATAGATAGACATTGATGTTATAACTATCACTTCCTTCTAAAGCTCTCTGAAATTATCTTCCCACACACACCAATCCTAAAAAACGTGATTAATGTATTCCATCAATTATTATCTGACTGTAAAAGCAGCCTTTTGCCTAAGCAGCAAGCTAGACTCACCTCAGTAAAACCTGTGTTCAGCCCCACAGGTGGTGCTCGGTGTACATCATGAACAGTGCTGCTGTTGTATCACCATAAATCATTTTAGCCACATCACTTTAGTAAGAAGTGAACAGAAGACATTTTGTAATGCCTCATGTTTATTTCCTGTTGTGTTTGTTGCTGTTTGATTTGAACAATTTGGTAATTCATAATTAGTCTTCCGGCCTCAGAGAGATTTTACCCTCCAAAAGGGTGAGCAATGAGCAGTGTAAATGGCACAAAAGAAATACTCCAGCAGAAGGACATAAAGCAGTCCTTGTGATATGAAGGGGTTATCTTACTAGACTGGACTTTTCCCACTTGGTATTTTTCATGAGTTATTTTAGAGTCTGTTCTCAAAATTTGTTTACTGTAGCCAATCTGTCATCAATAGATGTGAGCATCTCTCCTCCTAGATCAAGCCTTAAACTTTCAAGGGTTTAGGTTTATGATAACATGCCCAACAGGAAATTCCAATGTAGGTAGATGTTGTAGCTGCAAACCATTAATGCTTTACAGATCTGTCAGCACCAAATACTTAACAGCAATGCCTGTCAGATACCACAGTTTTATGGAAGCAATTAGTATTTGTACAATGGTATTACATACAAACATGAAAATGTTTCTCCCAAGCTTCTGTGAATGGTTATGAATTAGCAAATGTAACACTGATCAAATACAGGAAGCAAGATCAATTGTGAAACAATCCTGCAGTGTGACTTCACAAGGCAGAAATTTAAAATAGAAAAAAAATCCAGACGTCTTTTAAGGGTTTATGATTCAACCTCCTTCAACAGAAAGCCTGGAAAGAGCTGTCCCACTTCCTCAGGTCAGTTAAGAAAACTGGGCTTTCCATGCAGGCAAGTCTTGATTTCAACTGTGATGACACACATTACCTGCAATGGCAGCACTGCACTTCTGGGAACAATCCAGGTCTCCTGGGAGTCCCCACTGATGAATATAAAAGTACCCAGGTCTCCCTAACAGAGAAACCCCAGAAAGAACTCCTCATCCAAAGAGAGGACACACTGATTTTCAAACAAAGCACTGTTCATGTCTCATCTCATTTCACTAACTCTTCAGCATTCTCAGTGCATACACTTATTTCTTTTTAAACAGTCAAGTCAAACTAATTTAGAGAATTCTATACATCAGTATTTTATGAATAAAATGCTCATGGTAGAAACTGTTAGACTTGCTGATTTGTTAGGGTTTATTGAAAGAGAACATCATCAGGTTTTCACCCAATACATATGAGAGAAGACTTCTACAAGCCAGGACTGAGTATCAGCTCCCCATCTGACCGTCCCCAGCAGTAAATATCCATATAATATATAATAAATATATTAAATGTATTAAATATAATAAATACCCAAATAAATTTGCTCCTCAGCAGATGCTTCCCAGGACTGGCCCGAGATCTGCCATGTGCAAATACCCAGGTGATGCTCGTACGTAAGCGGGGTCCTGCACACAGCTCTTTGCAAGATGGGAGCTTCTGCTAACATGACAATTCCTACAAGTCCTTGTCTTCACTGGCACATCCAGAGATGATTTATTACTGAAGTTAAAAACTCACAGCTGGAGTCTCAATAATCACTACTTTGAGAGAATTTGAGCTCAAATACTGGAAACAGTTCCTAGTCTGAATATTCCAGTTGTTTTCTCTTTGATCTTTATTTTTTCCCCTTAACCATTTCTTTTGCAGATTTCCAGGAGAGCAGCAAGAAGCTGCATCAGTTCAGACCTATTTCCTTGCAGAAGTCTGATTTAGCTGTTTGATGTGGCAAGGTACTCTGTGTTGCATTTCTTCTGCTGCTTACCCTATTTAAATGTATCAACAGAACTGTTTCTCATCTATATTTATAGAGCAACAGAAAATAATGGTGTAGCTCTCCCATTGAATAAACTAAATAATAGCAAGGATAAAAATACAGATGGCACATAAATTACAGACTGTGTGAACCCCTTCATTCTAACTAAATATTCACCTGATGAGTCACACCACTTCCTTCCAAGGAAAACCCCACAATGGGAGAACAATAGACAAGGAGATCATGCAAGCAGATACTGCTCCTGGCAGACATTACTCTCCATTCCCCTCTCTCTGGAATGAGAATGAAACAACTGTGAATTTTAGATTATTCAGAAATTTGCAAAAATTTGAAATTTTTTTCTAACAAATAAGGTAAATCATCTTTGCTCAAGTGAATAACAAGTCATTTGTTTCAGGGTTTTTTCTGTACCCATTTAAATATTTGCAGTTCTGGTGCACCACTCTTGTTCCTTTTTCTTTCTCTGTTCTCTTATTTCTCTCTTAAACCCTTTTTTTTCTCCTTTGACATAACAAAATATGGAACAATACTGGCAATTCAATCATATTTTCTTAATCAAATATTACGGCTTAATACCAAAATAGTCAAATAATCTGCATACTTTACAGAATAGCAATAGATGATCTGAAGACTTAAAATCACAAGTTTCATACAGAGCTCTACTGTACAGCTCTCCTGAAGCCACAGGGTTTGGCAGATTTAACCACAGGCTTCAAGTGAAGCAGCACTTGCTTGGATAGAAATGGAAATGGTCTGAATTTAGTTCAGACCTCTTGGATGCCCTATTTAAAACACTCATCCCCTGGCCTGTGCTCTGCTAGCATCTGCATTAAAGCAGGAAAAGACAAACAGCTCCCCACACACAGGAATGTGCTGGAACATCATCACTTCTGAATTATTCCCAGTTAAACTAGGTGCATGTCATGAAAACTCCCTATATTCTAGAATAAATTTTGGCAGGTGTGTTGTTTGGCATCATCCTGAATAACAGAGCTAAACTACAGGAGGAAAAAAAATGTGGACATTTATTACATGAGAATATCTTGCTGATTTAAAAACACGCTTTTATCACATCCTACACAGAAGGAAGCTATCAGTAAATCCTGCCAGCTTCTGTGAACACCTCTGGTTATGCAGGATTCTCATTTTACCTGTCACTGCAGCCCTCACCGTGCTCTTGAGAAACGCTGTCACGACGCTGCTGCCCGTTGCTGTGAGAAGCAGCTATGGTACCTACAGGTACATACAGGACATGAATCCCTGCTCTCTGCCATTTATTACCTCTGCATTTCAATCCTGAGTGGAGCCATGCTTTCAGAAAGGCACTCTGCACAACTTCAGGGCAGCTCCAGCTCAGCCCAGAGTCCCTGAGGGGCACCTGGAGCCCGGGTCCATCCCTCCCCACCGCAGGCTGCTCTGCAGGGCCTGAGCAGGAGCCTCCCCTGGCTGAGCTGCCATCCCTCAGGGCACTGCTTCAGCCCTCACTCTCACCCGCTGCCAAAGGCAGGAGGGCACTGCCTGAGCCCTGTCCTGCACCCTGCTGCTCTAATGGCTCACATCGCTGCCACCTCTGCGTGGATCCTTCTTATGGCTCCCAAGGATAGAAAACTCCTTACTTCTACCTTCAAAAATTAATTAGTAGTAATAATAATAAGAGAAAACCAAAATTGTCTTCAAAAAGCTCCTGCTCAGAATTGTATTTTCTTTCCCAAATATAAAACACCACAATCTGGGAATTAAAATTATTCAGGCTCAACTGAACAGCACAACTGCATTTGAAGTGCACAGATGGGTAACTTCATTCATGCTCCTCTGACCATTTATATGCACAGCACAAGTGAACAAATGACAGGAATTTTTTAGGGAACTAATCAATGCTGCTGCATAATCTCTGTTTCAGTTGAGATAAATTGTCCTTCCATTCCATTTCCTCCCTTTCTACTGCAGATACCTACTGACAGTTTGTTTTGGTGTTGGGTGGGGAGGTATTCTCAAACCTTTTGAACAAAAGCCTCACATCAAATTTCCCTTCGCAAGTTCTGAGGAGCTCTACCTATTCCTGAAAATCCAGAATTCAAAACTGCTTATCCAAGTGTTAACCAAATCCCCTGATCAACCTTCTCTTTCCTCTTAGAATCACTCCTTTTTTTTTCTTTACTTTTTCTATCAAATTCCACAACTGTTTCAAAGGGATGTGAAAACAGAGCTCTTGCAATTTTTCATGCCTTTACAGTAGAACTGCAGATGGCTCTGATTCAGCCCCTGCTAAAACAATGAAAGGTAAATTGCAATATCCACATAACTGCACATGAGCAGAAAATGGCAGTTTTGTTCGCTTCATCTACAAACCTGCTGGTATAATTTCATATGCACACAGATAATTAGGTAATCCTTTTGGTTTTATCTTTCATAGCTCTTCACTGTTTCATCATTTTCATTGAAAACAGCTGGTAATCTCCATCAATGAAAGCTGTGTTTGCATTATTATTATTATTATTATTATTATTATTATTATTATTATTGCTTTCTGTCCAAGAGGCTTCTTAAGATAGGATGTGAATCATTTAAAAGACCTGTAAAAGCCAAATATACTGACATTAAAAGAAAAGCAAGACCTTTTACTTGCAGACAGTAAGGGGAAGTACTAAATATTAGTTGATTTACTGAAAGGCTTAGCATGTATGACAGCCCAAATCAGCTAAGAGAATGAAAACAAATTGTATTATATTGTTTGTGAGGAGAGCTGACAGAGTTAAAAACACTTTTACATGATGGCTGTTTAAAAAAAAAAAAATAGATTAAAGAAGATTTGGTTGATTAATCTCTGTAGCATTTTAGGTCTTGTTCTAGCAGAGACACAAATGGAAGGGAAAACAGGGAAAGCCAGAATAAGGGAAAGCCAGAATAAGGGAATGCCTTCGAGGATATTGGAGTCCATTGGCCAGGGGAAGAAGCCAGCCCTTACCTTGATTAAACTCTCTCAGATTACTGTTGCTTCTGCCCTGATGGACCAACAGTGAATGAAAAATACTTAAAGAAGTATTAAAAATACACTCTTTTACTTACTAAATGATACGCTCTTCTACATGTAACTCCTAAGGCAGATTCTGCACTTTTATGCAGAAGTTTCTATTTAAATTCAGAATGCTACACTTTTCTTTATTTTATCATACCCAAGTACTAAATTATCTATTGGCAGAGAGCTTACAGGGCTGTTATAAAAGGTAATCCAAACTGAACACATATATATTACATATACATATGCAGTTATGCACACAGTCCAGATGTAGAATTCTGCCTCCCAGCTAGTAACAATGACACTCTTTAAAGGTTTTAACCCCAGGAAGATGTGAGCTGTCTGCTGGGAGCTGGCATTCACAGAGGGGTGGGGCCAGGGGCAGCTAAAGCATGTGGAGAGCAGGGAGAGGGACTCTAGGGGACAGGTGAGCTCCTGGCATCAGTCCCTGTCTGTCATATCCTGTGCATAATGCTACAGATATTATATAATAATTATATTATATATATATACATATATAAAATGATGTAAGAGTCTCCCTGACCACCCCAGGGAGCTGCCTGACCCCCCTACATCAGCCCTCTCTCCTGGGAATGTGCTGGAATCCCTAAGGAGACACGGCACAGGATGGCCTTTCCCAAGCAGACATGAGGACCCTTCAGTCTCACTGTGGCTATTACACTAGGACTCTGAATCAGGATAGTTAATTTGCATTAAATAACAAACTCACTCTACTTGCTCCTCCTCACAGCCCACTGCTTTGTAAGCTTTACTCCCATGTAAGTGAAGACAGACTCTGAGTGGAGGGGTAGAATGTGCTCCTAAGGGAGTTCCTCACTGGGAGCTGCTCTCAGCAGGTACGAGCAGAACACCAGATGCAGGCAGCACAGTCACAGCCACGTGCTTTGTTTACCTATTTCTGGCCTGTCCTACTGAGAATATTAGCATAAAATTCTTCTTTTTGAGAAGTGGGAATACCACTTCTTTTGGAGAGCTTTTTTTTGCGTTATCAATCGCATTATCACTCCAGGCCAGTGTCTTCTGATATGGATGCTTAACAAATCTTCACGTTACAGTTCCACAGAAGAATATAAACCTGCTTATGAAATTAAATATACCTAAGAATTCTGTATACTTGCTTTCTTCCCTGCTTAATCAATCATTCTTTTTGTTGTTTTCCCCGATGAGATCTCAACACAACATATTGAGAGTATTATTTTTGCTCTGCTCATACCAGCTAAAAAGTAAATGCATCTGTCTCTATGACTTTTGTTCAGTGTCCACATCTTCCACTAAGATGTGTTGTAAAAAACACTATTTTTTTGCTAGTGTTTCCAGAATCTCACTCTCTATATATGTAAGGGGGAGCCACATGGAATACAGCTTAAGTGCAAAGAACTTGGTGTACTGAACTGCCATGTTTCTGCGAGATATGTCCTCAGAGTAAAACTCTGGCACAAAGCTCATACAGAGCCCTACTTTATCCCTCCCAGATCTCTGGGCAGGAACAGCAGGTTCCATGGGTAGATGATCTATTTTCCAACTTTCTGAGTCTCTATCTCAAAATGCAATGTGAGCAAACTCCTCTATTCAAGGATCTTTAGAACCACAGGGATGGAAAATGCCAGTTCCCATTTTTTCTCTGCAGTCTGCCACCATGGAAACCTGGAACACCCTAGAATTACTCAGTTATCAGCTACATGTTGGGTAAACTTCCAACAGGTAGTTGTTTGGTTTTTTCCCAGCTCAGCCTCTTTCACCGTTCAGCTGAACACTGTTTGCTTCCTCTCTTTTCTGCTTTGGCAAAACATAAAAAACCTTTCAGGGAGTCCATGGTTAATAAAACCCAGCCCTGGTCACACACCAGACATAAGCAAATCTCCTACTGTTCTTGCACACTCAAACTCAGTATAAATTATAGATTCATCAGGTGTAACCAGCTGTTACCTGAGCTGAGGGACCTCAGCAGCCCTCTCCCACATCACATCACAGGCTGTCAGTGCTGGGGTTGGCTGCACAGGAACACAGAGCTCTCCTCTGACCAGGGAAAAGGCCTCAAGTATTGGCACACAGCACAGAGAGCAGCAGGAATGCTGCTTATATGATTAACTTGAAATTTCCCTGGTTTATCTCCTTTCCAGCTTCAGACTACATCCACTCTATACTATGAGAGGCATTAATTACTTTGTGTAAGGCAGGCTTTTGTTGCTCTTTCTCTGGGGTAAAGAAGGGGAAGGGACAGTTATCTTTTCAGCAATATTACTTATCTCATAATATCATACAATATCTCACAAATATATTGAACTACTAACTGTGAAATTGCTTGAAAAAATGCGTCCTGCTGTGTCACTTAGGAATCATCCTTCTGGTGTGAAGGAAAAGAGAAGAGGTTGGAAGGGTGTTGGAGACGCCATCTCTAGAGAAACTTTCACTACAAAATGTATTTTCTTTACCAGAGGAGAGGACTACAAGAATTTTGTTCTGCAAAAATCTGCCTGAAGCAGAATTTCTGTGCTACAGGAAGGTCACAAATGTAGGCAAGGATAGTTAGTAAAAGACAGGTTTTGCAGGAAGAGAGGAAGATGCCATTTCCAGAACAGCATCGTTGCTTAGTTTGACAAATGAAATCCAACTTTCCTGCACTGGCCTATGGAAGAGGCTGGCAATGTTTCAAGCTTCTCCTCTTCAGAGAATCTGATCCCTAAATCACACCCACTCCAACCTGCCCTGACCCTTTGCAAGGATCATGAAGGGTCTCCATGCTCAGAAAGTTAAGGGAAGGGAAGGGAGAGGACAGGGCATGGTGCTGGACACAGGACACTGGACAGGAGCAGTAGAGAGAAGAGGGTATAATATTTACTCCCTGCGTTTCAAATGCCCAAATACCTATCTGGGCCTTTCTGGGGGGAAAAAAATTGCTTGCAGAGGGAAAAAATTTAAGTAGATTACTCTGCCTCAAAAATGGATCCAGATTTCAGCACATTTTCAGATTTCCAGGAAGGACTGTGTCCTTCCATTAGATGCACAAAAGCTAAACTATAGTCTTACCCCTGTAACAAGATGGGGACATCATCTGTTTCTCCATTTCTCCCATAAATACCCACTCACGGTAATTTCTGAATTCTGAAAAAATTTATAGCAGGAATGGTGCAGTATAATTTATATGCAGACACAAACACACATTGTGTGTGGGTAGAGAGACCATGTAAGCATCTGATGTTCATCTCACAGCTGACAACTAGAATACCATACAACTAATATCATTAAGATGCCAGATACTTTTTTCTGTTGCACTGTATCATGAGAAAGGGATAAAAGCTCTGGTGGAAGGAGCCAGATACTACAGGAGCCAGAAGAAGAGAAGAACAACTGTGCTCCTTCCTGCTCTGCCAGCCCAATGACACGGTGCCAGGCTCTGGTGGCTCTTGGCCCAGGACTGCTGGAGAACAGATGCAATACAGCATGTTCCTTTCTGAAATTAAGGGAAGTAAGGGAAGAGGAGAGCAAAAGCAAATGAAGCTCAGATCACTACTTCCTGACCTGCACTTTCTCCACAGTGCTCCATCTTTGAAGTCTATAGACAGAGCTCTACTGATTTCAAAGGATTTGATTCAGAGCTTAAGGAGAAGGGAAAACGTGTGGCACAGTGCAGAGCTCCCTGGCATTACAGCTCTGTGGGACTGCACAGAGCTTTGCCTGGAGCTACATGTGCTTATCAAATGTTCTCCTTCCTTAGATTGCCCTCCAGACATGTTCTATCCAGCAGGACCCATGAAAAGATTTAAAATATGGTTTAATTTACACATATTTGACAGAGAACATAAATGTTCCTCCAGAAGATTTGTGAGTCAAGTAGTGCTTTTTCTCCCCCTATCTGGAATAAAAGAATATTTCCTTTTTTCCCTGGCAAAATGTTCCTGGATGAACATTTTATTAACTCTGCATATTACTTGAAAATTTTGTGTTGTCTTTTTCGTTTTATAGAAACAGTTATTACAATCAAGATTTCTTTCCTCTTTTAAGACTGGTCTTGCTGTGCAACAAACATTCCCAGTATCTCCACAACTCACATTATTTCACTGTTTCATAGCTGAAAGCTTTTAATTTTTCCTTCTAACAGCAAATTACTTTGATATTAAAATGTCCATCAAAATCCCTGCAACTAAAGTCATTATGAAGTTCCCAATATTTGTGTGGCTTGATATCAAAAGAATTTTCACCAAGGAAAAAAAAAATGTAAAAAAAAAATCTCATTCAGGGTACCTCTTAGTCTGGTTAAAATAGCTCTCTGGAGCTCCATACATCATTCTGTCTGGAAAATAACCCAGCAATATTCCCCTTCCTCCCTCCCCCAGAATACCTGCACAACATTTGTGAAATACACTGAAATAATAAACTGTGCAAGGAGACCATTAAGTATCCAAATACCCCAAGCTCTTCTGAGAGCAAGGTTGTAAGGGTGACACACTGTGTGCACGTAGCCTGTGATGCTTCCAGAGAACTCCATGCTGCCTACCCCAACAAAATACAGAGTGGTCAAGGACAAGAAACGATGAGGAACATTTACAGCTTCAGGATGCATTTAAGTACCTGCACTGAAAGTTGTAGTAAGGTTACTAAAATCTGTAACCTTCAGTTTGACAAAACCATCAGAGAATGTTTTTACAGTTGTCAGAAACTCCTCCAGTGCCTAATCTGAACACCATGTGAGAAACAAACCAAGCAGCAGAATGATGTACAAGAAGAGGTTCAATGGAACAAGAGCAGAGTGAACAGCACGGCCCACTCGGCATTGCTGCATGGACCAACATCTGAAATGGCAGATGGACGGGCAGCATGGGCTTTGGAAGGGTCCAGCAGGCTGAAGAAGAAATTAAAATGCCGTGTTTTACAAATGTGACAAACAAAAATGCTTGATCAAACCTGCTGCTATGGCCTGCTTACAGATGAAGCTGAAGTTTGGGCTAAGGGAAATCAAACGCCTCCAAGGCTACCAGTGAAGCAAAAAATTACATTAGCTGTACAGCCTGAAGCATATTTGTTAGTATTTAACAAATTACGTGCTTCATTTAAATACCACTGCTAGTAGCCAGATAAATTAAAATCACCTCATTAGCTTTGCATCAGTTAAAAATTAGAAGAGGCTTTTCTTACCTTCTGTCTAGGTGTTTTCCTGCTCATACAGTAGGTGCCAGCAGGGACCTGTGTCACAGAGGCCTTTGTCCGTACCGTTTGTCTCTAGGTGTCCTGAGCCTGAACAGATGCAATGACAGACAAGGCAAACGTGATTTCAGAACACAGCCAGGATTTCACATCCAAAATGATGATCACTGTAGTGAAATGGAACTGACTGAAGCTCTGCAGGCCCACGTGCTGTACTCTGGGAAGAAACAGGCACGAGCAAACCCCCAGAACTGACTGTATTTCACCAAGCTGCAACAAGTACAGGTAAAGCCCTGCACGGGGGAAACAGGGAAGGGTCTGGACAAGCCTTCTGCTCTTCACTTCTCCACATCTCTTATGGCATGTCTTTGGGCAAGAGGATTCATTATGTGTGTTGTGACTAATTTTTTTGGAACATGGAGATAAGGACACTCTAGGCCCAGGTTCAGATTGGCTAATTTTCCCCTAAATTCCACTGTAAAATATTCTTCCTGGTACACATTTCTGAAGATCTGTGGCCATTCACAGATGCACAAAAACTGAAGTAGAAAATAGGCTATTTGAATTTAAGCCTTTATTATCTCTGGCCAAGTCAAGTCATAGAAAAGAAAAGTACAGTACAAGTCACCTGTTACTGTAAATTCTCATGGCGAGAGTCAGGGTGTCAACCTTGAATGTCCCTCCCTAAAGGACAGCCCTTTTCCACCGGGAGAGATAGGAAACAAAGACACTGCTTAAGCACTTGCAACATTTGACCAATTCAACTGAAGAAATAATGGAAAATCAAGGAAAGACAAATTATTCCTTTGTTAGAAAAGGTTCATTCTCCCTGTAAGGCAATTTGGAGAAACCAAGACCTTTGCAACCTGCATTGTACAACAGGCATGTCAGAAAAATGCATGACATTTTCTTAGTGAAGCACTTCAATTTCTAATTTAAAGTGTTATTTTAGGATCAGATTAAGCTCATTCAACTAAAAAAATATTTAATGATAAATAAAAAAATTTATTCAATCAAAAAATCTTTCTTTTCTAACTTCTTAGTATTTATGTGTTAGCATGGAAACAGAAACATTTTCAGTTCAGGTCACCCAGCAGCATCTTCTGTAGAATGGTTTGCAAAGCCCTGCTTAGGAAATATTTGAAAACCTGCAGAAAAAATTCTCTAACTGCACAGCAGAAAAAAATAAAAAAGAAGGTTGCATAACTCATCATACATAACTACTACCAATATGTCTCAACATTTAGAAAATATTTAAGATTTTCTATTCCTAAGTGACAATTTCCTGTTGAAGCTAAGGGAACCATTTACATACTTCTGATTAAATGTCTTCCTAAAGGCTTTGCCAAGTCAAGGTACATGAAGTAAATGATAATGAGAGAAAGCTGCTGAATAACTTGACAGTTATTGAGAATTTCTCTGAATAAATTACACGAACACTTTTACCTGTTAACACCCTTTTGGCATTAAAGTCTTTATTTAAAATAGTTCCTCCTCTGTAATGAATTTGACTTGTGATGATGACTGCTATCTCCTGTCCTTGCATTTCAGCCTTCCTCTGAAGTGGCAATAGCCACTTACGAGGTCCTGATCAGTCTGACACCCAAGGCAGTGATGAGGAATAAGGAACACAGACTTCCCCCATCAGCAGCAAAAGCAGTCAGGTAAAACTACATGTACAAGATGCTTTGCAGTAACAAAAACCAGTCGGAATAAATGAGCTAGCTATGGCCTCAGTGATTCCAAGGAAGCTGAGGCACCAGTGTTAACTCCTTGCTGGTTTACTGGTGCAGGTGCAGGCAGTTATTCCTCAGCAGTGGAAGAGCCAGCTGCTGGTCAGTGTTGCTGCTCTGCTTGTTCCACTCTGGAAACCTGTTGTAAAGAGAATGCTGCCAAAAGTATCAAAAATTTCATACCACTGTGATGTAGAATTAAATTCATTATGGCTTTGTTAGGCAACTCCTGAAATGTGATGCTGGGGTTACCAATAACACGTTATAGATCACTCTCCTTTACACTTCAGACATTTGAAGTTGAAATGTGATGTTGAAACAGTCCCATGTCTATCAAATATAACACCTTCCACAGAAAGTTGAATTTTCAGCTGCAATTCTCTACCTTAGCTATTTGGTGAGTCTGAACTCCCCCTACCCGAAGTACCTACACAGCCAGTCCCATTTCAGCAGAATTCCACTGGTATGTTATACAAATATTGATTTTCAAAACTTTATTGATGTTAGTCAGATGTTCTTCAGAACACTGCATTCACAACAGGGCACATGTGGAAAACTAAGCACACAGTATCTGTGTGTATTGCTGTGAAATTAAAAAGCTCATATTAAAGCAAAAGCTGGTGCTGAGCCAATGATGAAAACTGTTTTCACTGCTTCTAAGGCAAAAGGGAAAAAGCCATGGAAGAAGCACTGTAGATGCAGAGTTTGGTAGGCAGTAACTCATCCCCATGTTCTTCAAGGAATGGCAGCCAAGCTGTCCCCCAGAGATTCCCTTTTCATGAAGCTGTTTTAAGCTGCAGCTCAGCAGCACATGTGCTCTTCTTACTAACCACTCCCACCCTGACCTCGAGACCTGCAGAACTTTGCAACCACGTGTCCAAACGACAAAGTCTTCACTCACCTTTCCCTTTGCCAAGGCAATGTTGGAAAAACATCACAGATTCTGGTGCATTCAGGCAGCACGTGTGGAATGGAATAAATCATAAAAGAGTAGCTCCCTCTACATCCACACTGGCAGCACTCCCTTCCCATCTGGCAGGGAAATGGCCATAACCCCAACCATCACCCTGATTTGGGGCAAGACTGGGATTGCAGGAGCACTGGTAACCTGAGAGGTGCTACAGGCCTGCCTTTATCTGGCACCACAAATAAATGCAATTAAGGAACATCATTGTTTTCCCACAGCAGTAATGGTCATTCCTAAATTCATTGTCTCACTTTCCTGCAGTCACTGCTTCTCTGGTGAGAAGAGCTTCTCACTACACAGCAACAAAAGGTGTCAAAGAGGAAAAGGTGAGTCCCTAGTGTATATGACAACAACAAAAATAATTTAATCTGAATCATATACTCACTGCTTAGCTTTACACACACAGAAATGAAACCACAAATTCTGAATGGTTTTAACCAGAGAACTTGTGACTGTTACTATAAACAGGTTCAGGGTAGGGGAAATTGGACCTGCACTGCTTCAACGTGCCCTCGGGATCACAATCATTATCTCTTCCAAGAAAATCATTATTCCTACCAAGAGCTGGGAGTAGAGCTCTGAGCCAGGGGCTGCAGGGTGCCTCGAAGCAGGCTGCCCACCTCCAACCTTGGGCAGGACCTGCTGCACCACAGCAGAGCCTCTGCTCCCATCCATCGGCCACGGGCCGTGCTCCCACACACATGCCAGGATGCAGAAGAACCTTCCAGTGTGTCCACACCAGACCACCTGCTCCCCACCTGGCCAAAGACTCTGCACCACTTACACAAACCACAGTGATGAGACACGAGAAAAACAAAAGAGGTGAAAAAGGTGGAAAAGAGGAAAGGAAAAAAGAGATAAATAAGAAATAAAAATGGGAACAGGCACAGAGATAAGAGAAAATAAAAAAGGGAAAACAGGAGAAAAAACAAATCAAGGAAAAAAGAGGAAGGAAAAAAGAAGCAAGAGAAACAGCAATAAGGAAAGGCCAACATCCTTTTAAACACAGGGAATGAGAGGTTAACTCTGCAGGTCAGAATGGGGGGACTAGGATGTTAAAGAAAAATTGAAAATGAAAATGCAGTTTATTTCTAGTAGCATATGCAAAACCAACACCATTTTTCATGTTCCTAAAAAGACAGATAAACCCATCCCCAGGGACTGCTGGAGTGAAAGAAGCAGGACCACAGGGTTTCTACAGTCATTAGCATTCTTGCCAGTTGATGAGAAAGCATTTCATATCCAAACCCGTATGGTCAGCAGAAGACAAGCATTAACTTATTGCCTGTTTGATTTTCATCTTTCATTTTAATGTGCTGAATTATTAATGTCATCCTAGTCACTAGCTAAACTTTTTATTTTTTAAATTTCTATGTAATGTTAAACCATTACATAATCTAAAAGCATTCAGGGCTCTGATGCCACAGCCCTCCTGAGGAGGCTTATGAACACAGGCTACCTCAAGTGCAAGATGACCTTTCACCACAGGCAGCTGCCATTGAGCACCAGCAGCACTGCAGATCCACTCCTGCAGGAACACAAAACAGCACAGGCTCTGTGCAGCCTTGAGGCAAAGGCAGTGCTCTGGCAAGTGTGGAACGAGGGCAGTGAGACACACCGAGGGCAGGGGCAGTCAGTCTGCTCACAGGAGGCTGAGAGGAGGCAGCTGCCTCTGCACAGGAACCTTCCTCCAAAGCCATGGCTTTGTAAAACAAGGCCAGAGTGGGGCTGTGTGACAGCCACTGCCCAGGGACAGGCAGCACCTGCAGCACCTGCAGCTCAGCTCACTGTGCTGGGGCACTGCACCCACCCTGCAGCTCAGCTCTCTGTGCTGGGGCACTGCTCCCACCCCTGCAGCTCAGCTCTCTGTGCTGGGGCACTGCTCCCACCCCTGCAGCACAGTTCACTGCACTGGGGCACTGCTCCCACCCCTGCAGCACCTGCAGCTCTCTGTGCTGGGGCACTGCTCCCACCCCTGCAGCTCAGGCACGCTTCCCTCTGGCACTGCCAGCATTCCCTGCTGACTTGGCCAACGCCTTCCACGGAACCACTGGTGACAATTTGGCCAAAGGGGCTGCAGGAGCCTGTGCAGGGTCAGAAGCTGATTGGGCGGCTGCAATCCATGATTTTTATCCATTACAGAGTACAGTAAGGTCTTTGGTTTAGGGAGAAAAGACACATGGCTGGGAAGAGTGGAAGCTTGAGCTGTATTCAGAGGGTTACTGTTGCCATGTCAACACTTTGGAAAAAAAAAAAAAAAAAATTATTTACCCCCGACACTGCTTAAAAGGGTTGAAAGTGTTCAGTGCTGAACAGGACTACCTCTTTTTTTATTTATTTGTTTTACAGATTAGCACAAGATAAACCAAATATGTAAATTTCATTCCAGATGAAAAAATACTACATGCCTAGAGGGAAAGAATCAAATGAATGTGTTTACCTTAATTCTGCAATTTGAAAAAGCAAACTTGAGAAGAATGATTAAAAGCACATGAAATGGGAAGTGTGCCCTTTAAATACCAACTTCTAATTGAAGTGATGTGAATATGTAAATCTAATTATCCACATTTAAGGATTAGGTATTTTATTAAAACTGCCTTGATTTAAATTGCACAATCAGTCCTTTTATTAAGACTTTTCATTTATTTTCGTTCTGGTATTTGTTAATAAGACCTGACAAAACACCAGACACCACGTCTTGAGCCATTGCTGCAGTGCCTCTACAGCACAGCTGGATGAATACCCTAGCGCTCAGCTCCCACATACAATAACACACGACAGGGCTAAAGGAAAACTTCATTTTAGCTGCAGACAATATTATTTCTTAGAGTCTTAAATGCAAGATATAATCGCACTAGATAGGATTTCCAAAGGTTTTACCTTTCTTTCTAAACTGGTGTGCACATGTGACTGTTAATTCCAGTGCCCTGTCCCACTGCCCCAGGCGAGAGCCCCTGCCCTGTGTGACACTGCCCAGAGCAGCACGGGGGCTCTGCCTGCACTGCCCTCACCCCCTGAGCACTGCCAGGGTGACACTGCACCCACTGCCTTCCTGCCTCACAGGACAGCTCTTCTGCCACCTCACACAGCCGCCTCCTGCACAGCTCTCCACTTGGGCCTCAGCTTCTGGAAAGGCAACTCGTCTTCAGTGGACAGAGCAACTATTCCTCCAAGCAGTGCTGGTTTGTCCCAGGGCCCAGTGGTGCAGACTGTAACATGCTTGTCTCATTTATTCTCTCAATTTGACTTCAGCATCCCGTCACTGATCCTTAGAGCACCTTCCTCCTAAGATCAAACCACCCTTTAACGTTCCCCTCTCTGAAAACACTGATGCACAGAACAGTTCAGGCAGAGCAAAGCAGACACCGTATCATTTCAGACAATCAATGCTCATTATCTGACAGAAAAGAAGCCCCAAGTATCTGGATCAGAATGTGCCCATTTCTTCTCATTCCCAGCTACTGAAGTGCAAGAGATCTGTGCCAAGAAATGTGTAAATAAATTGCTTCTTCCTCAACACTATGTCTCTCCATATTTAAAATTATGTGAAAGTAATTACTTTCCCTCCAATCTTTCTGTGACTTCTTCTTTTCCTTTTCCAGAACAAGACAAACTGCAGTTCTCTAATGAGAGCACAACTTCCACATGCAGACCCAGACAGTCAGAATATCTTTCTAGACTACTGGCAGCATTGTAAACTAGTGCAGCTTAAAAGGAACACTGAGTATACTGAAGTGTGTGGTAAAGCCCCTGTACAAGAGTTAGGAGATTACATAAGAATTTGAGCTTTTATTAGAAATTACATGGGGGGAACCTATACGTGCCAGAAGAAACATACTCTAAAGGGAAATGGCAGGGAACATAAATGTGCTATTTATTGTATGTAAAATTCCACTCTGTAGGGTCTGTTACCATCAGTCAGGACTGGCTCTTGAATTCTCAACATTTTCTGTTTATACTGAAAAAAAGTAAATTATTCAAACTGAAAAAATATCTCACATGAATCAAAGATATAATCACACATACTATAATGAGTGGGGAACAATATAACAGCAGGGTAAAAGCTGGACTGTGTTTATTTCATGTTTGGAAGGAAAAATCAGGTGCACCTTCATTCAATCTAAACCATTTTGCCTCTCTCAGAAGAAAAGGCTTAAGGGAAACCTTTCTGAAAGTTAAAAGAAAAAGATTTCACAGACTGTTAAATTTCATCTTCTGAACATCTTTCCAGAACACTACACCAGTAGTACTGAAATCCTCAACTTGCTATTTCACTGAATTAATTACTAGTCATATTTCAAGCATCCACACACAGTACTTTGAATCAAAGGTGCTCAATACAATTCCACAATCATTTACATGAACAATTCATCTTTTGCACTCACATTCAATTTTATAGAGGTACTCATTCTTACTATTATTTAGCTACCAGAGCCTACATGGAAACAATGGAGGAAACCTGAAATAAACCTTATTGTTGCCTGTTTTTGACAGTTAATTCACAGATGCAGTTACCATGTGCATGGGGGAAAACGGCAGTAAGATCACCTACTGAAACTCTTGGTGTGGGGTTCTCTGCTCACACCACAGGAACAAAGTGTGATTAAGAGAAATGAAGGAGACCAGACTGGAAACATGAAACATACAAGCTCCTAGTTTCTGCACAGGGAAAAAGTTCCACATAAAACCCAGGCCTTGCTTCTCAAACTTGAGGATCTTTACCACTTGGAAACCCATGGGACAGCAAAAGAAAAACATCATGTGGAAAGTGCAGGCACAGCAATGAGACACATCCCTCCCCAAAAAACTTGCACGTCCTTTGAAGGGTTTCAGAGCCATAAGTTCAAAACTGGCTGTGGATAAAGGAGCAGAGCAGTGCCTGTAAGACTGCCCTTCAGACAGGGTCCAGCTCAAGTCAAGGACAGGAAAGCTCTTTATATCTCTGCACTATCTTGAAGTCTTTGGAACATTCCTGGCAGAATGAACGTGGGCATTTGCAAATCTCCTTTCCTGATGTGGCTTCTGCTCCATTCGGGTGCCTGTGCCTGAGGGTCCATGCCAGGTGACCTCCTCCTGAAGATATGATGTAGTAATGATGGCTTATCCCCACAGACATTACCAGCTACTGGGATAACAGCACATGAGAACAGAATTTCCTTTAAGATCCTCAGTTACACAGGAATTCCAAGGTTAAGGCAGAATACAACAGGATTTTGTAAGGAGATTGTTATTTGGAGGTTTTAGTACTCTATCTCATACCATACTATGGTAGATCAAGAGTTTGGTTCTTTCTGGTCCTCCTCATAACCCAACAGTTCAGGAAAAAAAAATTACTGGAAATTACAGATGTCAGGTCAGGAGTGGAAAGTTATTCTGACTAGGCCAGAATGTCAGATCAGAAATAATATGCTAGAGTTTATCAGCTGAAATACGTGAGGCAAGAAAAAACTCCAACCAACAGCCCAGCTTATCTCACACTTTATTTTAAATACACTGTATTGACCAAATTCCTTCCTGAACCATACCAAGGGCAGAAACTATTGTATAAATTCCTGCAGCACTGAAGAAGTCAGTTCATATTGACTGGACATATCGTTTTTGCATGCACATGAGCCCACTGGCCCACTAAGTTTGTATCCTGTACGTTTCAAAAGCATGCGGCTGCTGGGGGGCCGCTTTGGGTTTTGTTTGCTCCTACAGTCCCACGCAAGAGGGTCTATCTGAATGCAGGTGCTGGAATGAGAACTCTGCTCCCCCATTCCTGTTGGTGACACTCGGGCCTCTCTGAGACAAAGCTCCTTCTCATCAGCAACAGAGATTTTTTTAAAAAGGTGTGGACAGGGACAAAAACCAGGCCCTTAGGTGGCAGTAAGATCTGAAACATTAACTGTACTTAGTGGTTCACCAGCAATCTTGACTGCAAAAATCACTGGTAGAGTGGAGGAGAGTCTAGCACAGTTTGCTCCAAAGAGAACTTCAGGAGAGACTTTGTGGAAGGTGTTTTAGTGCCTCTAAAAACACTGCTGCAAGTGCAGCCCTTGCCCACAATGGCACGAGAGAAGCAAAGGTGTGTACGTACTTGAGGGTTGGTGCCAGCACTGTCACACAGCTCCCATTTCCTTCAGCTCCTCTGGCCTTTCTCCCTGACCTTCAGACCAGTGCACAGCCACCACAGCTCTAACTCAAATTTTTACCCAAACTGATTAGGATATTCTCAATTCACTGCCCTCCAATGCAGCTGAATTAAGACACCAGGGTAAAAAATGGGCTACCATATTAACAGTGATGTATCTCCCTGTTCCACAGAGCCAACATCACACTAATTTTCATGTGGAAGTCATACTGTCACTAGACTTCACTGCCATTAAGAACCGGTTAAACATTAATCAATAGGCATTTAAACTTACTAGGACATGTTTAGTGAAAAATTCTCCATTGGCAGCATAGTAATTGGCTTTCTAAATTTCACAGATCTCTTAAAAATTATTTTTTCTATCTGCATGGCCCATTGCTCCACCATTTCAACGTACAGTTCATTTGGTAATCATGTACAGACAGACAACTAATCTATTTCTCCTGATGCTTTGTTTTAAAGTTCCATTTAATGTGATCACTTGCCAAGAGAAAGCAGAATTTAGCAGAAATAAAATAAAAAGTAAATAAAAGCATTTATCATGCTTTAAAGAAATTGTTAATATTCAGAAACTCACTGACATTCCAGTAGTAGTCGTCACTTTCAAGCCCTCTCTCCAGGAGTGAAAGCATTATGGAAAATTTAAGTCTGCTGTTCCCTGCTTCATGCTACTGTATCTCCTTACTTTAAAAAATCAGTACAGGCTATTAATCATTTCACCCCCTGTCCAAAGACTGTGAATACCTTAAAAGGTGAGCTGTAAAGGTCTGGGGAAAAGAAAAACAGAGAGGGAGAGAAAGAAAAAAATCAAGCCCATCATAATTAGGAGACAGACATTTCAAACTGATATTTAAATTATACAGTCTCCCACCTTCTTTTTTCATGTCTCAGCCTCCTCACTCAGTTGAAATACACAGCCACAAGCAAGTATGATTATTTCTATACCCTTAGTGACCAACCCAGGAGCAGAGAAAAGAAAGACAGGATTTTATTCAACAATCCAGAGCTCTTCCTTGCCCTTTCTGTCATAGCTTTTTTCCCCCTTAGCTTTTATATACAAAATATAAAAATAAACAGAATCATCAAAGACTGAATAAAGTCAACTCCATTTTGCTTTCTTGCAGACTCCTTTTTCAAGGCTCACTCACTCAAGACACAAATGTGGCAGGTTGGTAGCTCTGAGTGCAGAGCTGACCAGAGGTGCATGAGCAGTTTCAAAAGCCGGGAGGAGAAATGCCCTTCTGTGCCACAGAAGCCCAAGTGCTGCTAAGCTCAGTTCCCAGCAAGCCCCTGCACATCTCACACACCTCACACGGTCTGGGACACCAGGGTGATGCCCAGAGCAGAGTTCATCCTCAGCAAAGGCAGACTGTACCAACTCCACTGAGCACGGTGCAGGTGTAGCATTTGAGACCACAGCGATATTTGCATTACAGACATCGAGAACTGAAGAGTTTTCAGAATCCTGCTGGCCATCTGGCACTCTGGAAGTGCAGCTACAGATACACTAACCTGCACCTTGTGGGATTAGATAATGTTATTTCACCTCAGAAGTGCCAATGGAGAGCAGACTCAGTGAGCAGTATCACTGCTGACAGGACCATCACAGAGCTCCCAACACATTTTTCACAAGTGCTTTTATGGAAGAGCAATGTGTGCTCTTAAAGTGTTGTATTACCTGCAACTGCACCAGGTTCAACAAGAAACCTTAAAGTAACTGCATTTCTAGTGCTGACCTTCACTGATTTTCTACACAAAACCTACTTAATACCAACAGGAAAGAAAAGGCCACACCATTAAAAAGGTGACTTGCATATTCATGACCTCCTAAGAGTAGCATCTTTAATTTAATGCTGCCTTTACTTCGCATGTAACGCCAGCAAATTGAAGCTTTCACATTTTAAACAACTATTGATTTGTCTGATTTATGAATACAAAGAAAGCTAAGTAGTCAAAATGCTATTTGGGCTGACTGAATGTGGTCTTTAGCTGGAAATGCTCTACCCAGTACAGGCAAAGCCTGCCCTCTAGAGCACTCTGTCCCTCGTGAGAAACCCATCTGCATCCACGGACTTGTATAGCAGAGAAAAGTGAACTTGTGTGATTGCTTTAGTTCTTTCTCAGATCAAAGTGACAGATTTCTCAGTTAGAAGTATTTGATTCTTTGAGCTGGAAGAAAGTTTTCAGGTTCAAGGTTAAATCACAACAAATCCCCAGCTGCGTGAGAAGGGACATGGGCAAAACGCAGTGCAGGAACCTGAACATGCTGCTGTAGTACCACCGGAGCCACCTCTGCAAAGGAACAAAAGGAACTTCTCTCTGGGACTCACCAAACCTGCCATCCGCTCTCCAGCAGCCAGATGTGTGCAAAGAAGGCACAAAAC